ATCCGTTCCGAAAACGGCCCACGGACTTCAGACCGTCGAACGGCTTCATCCGTTAGCATATGGCTAGGGCTGCACAATAAACGAGAACAGCGCTATCATCGTACTTACTAGCGTTATGTTGAAGATGATGATGATGTGCCGTTGTTTTCGGATGTACTTTTCTTCCTTAGCAAAACAAGGGCTCTGTTGAGTCATCAGCTGAAATAGACGACTCTGAAGAAGTGGGCATAGAAAGACAAGCGCTATGAGTCCGTACTTTAGCGTACGTAGTCTAGAAGGGCATTTACTTTGTTTTGTCCGACAATGACTTCCGTACTGCTTGCAACAGAAAAATTATATTTTCGTTTTTCTTTTCTAGATCTACAGATAATTGAATCGATAAATATGGCCACTTTTATCGATACTAGAAGGCGAGTAACAATACGGACTCGCGTATATTTAGTGGACATACTGTTATCTATCGACGTCCGTAACAAAAGGCGCACGACAATAGTTCAGTAGTTAGGCTCACTTACGTGTGAAGTTATCGGGATATCAAAAGTTTTTTATAGCGTTCGCCTATCTAAAGGATAGAAATGTTCCATTATAATTTTAAAAAGGAAGAAATAGAAGAAATACAGGTAAACATGACTGAAAGCTTATTCTAGCTCAAAATCGTGCAAATACCCGGCTTCGAGTAAGATATTTTGCGGAGGTTAGTCGTTAAAAATGTGTGTGAGGTATCTTTCGATCCCGTTACTGCTCAGACATTGCACAGATTGCGTCGTGTGCCGGTTCAGACTGAGTGTGGCTTCAAACACATGGTTACATCTTTGTCACACATCAGCACTGCTGTTATGGTTAGTTTACTCCGAACATAAACACTGTTATAACGTCCATGGATGACCTAGTGGAACTGATCTCTGCTGACTCAGGACATTATTGACAATCCAAAAAATCAGGATATTGTTAAATTATGAATGTTGACTCTTAGTCGGAGTCTAGCCAAAGCAAGGCACGACGTAACGCCACACTACGGCACATTATTATATTATAATAACACATTATTAAACTGGTGCAGCTTTAACGGTTAATTTGGGGCATATTATTTTTAGATTTAATTTACTAAAGGTGATATAAAATATCGAATAACTAAATATATAGTATGAAATAGTTTGTTTTTATCGGGCTGAAACATTTTGTCATTTATGGGGGGAACATTGTTGCTTTGTGCAGAGACAGGATTTAAATTTTACGTGGACATTTGCTGACGGGCTGCATCAACTGCCCCATGGTACTCTTCCGTACTTCGATCGTCTAGAAGCAGTTAATATATTAAAATTTCTAAGGGCATATGTACTTGTTCTATAGGAGCTAGTTACAGTTTCATTAACCATATTGCTTCTAGCTACTGTAATAATCTAAGACGATCATTACCATTACGGTATGACAAACTATATTGAATCAACATATTTAATCATTTACTATCTTTGTTCATTGTTAGGTGCATTTCTACACGAATAATATCAATACTTTAAGATCATCTTGGAATATTTATATCAAAATGGAGGTAAAAGTTAAATATGACTGCGCTCTTCTTCTCTGCACGACGCTGCCCAAGGACGCTCTCCTTAGTAATAAATCTGTGTGGTATCGTTTATAGGGGCCTCTCTAGCCGCCGCCGACGCAATGATAGTGCGATTCATTAGCACACAGAGCAGCGTGAAGATCACGCATAGCGTATTATTTTTTATTATTTATATTACCCCCCGTTAGCTCTTTCTGCACGCCTGCTTCGTTGTTCCACTAGACTAGTGCCAGTGGCAAAGAACTCTAGGTCAACTTCATTTTCTCATTATCAACAGAACAGATCCCAGCTAGATGGGCTTTTGTTCATTTGAACGTGCGTATAGCACTAAACAGGATAAGCTGTTTGAGCTTTAGCCCGTATAGACAGACGTAAAAGCATATTTGTGCACGTCTCCTTCCATTGGAGTACGCCCACTTTATTTTTTATTGCTATCTAATACATTGAAGATTTTCACTTGTTTAAGTCATGTCTTAAAAAACTCCCTAATAGACAGCTAAATCGCTTCATGTTGTGAATTTCCAATTACACGTTTATCAGGGTAATAGAGAGTGCAACCCCGGTATATCCTAGTATGAAGACCCAATTCATTTGGAAGGCCAACTTTCAAATCCTCATATATATATATATATATATATATATATATATATATATATATATATATATATATGTGTAGAAAGCTCACAATTTTACATGAAATAATCGCATTCTGCCAAGCTGGTAACGACTTAAACGGCAGAAATCTATTTAAAATTCACGAGCGGTCATCCATTGGCTGTTTTCGCTAGTAATTAAATCGAGGTGAGCTTAGGCTTAAATGATTGCTTTTTGTTATTTTTGATCAAAAATGATCAAGCATGGACAAGTAACGCAAAATAACTACGTACATCAGAGACACTCAAGAGTTTATACAAATGTGTGAGCTGAACATCAACAAGCCGTTTGAGTTTATTTCCGCAACGTATCTAGCGACGTAATTTCGTCCTTTTGTTACATACCCGTTCTAGGACGTAGGCCTAAGCTAAAGCCCTTCGATGGAATCGCAGTATCTTTCTGCCTACGAATTTCGTCCCGAAACAATGCTTCCAGCAGTCTTTCTTTTAAAAAACCCCAGCTAACTGAAACTATTGGTTGTATTTACACAGTTCGAAGGCCAGTTTAATTTAAGCGAGCAACATGCTTCATCGCGCCATAACGCCAATGGTTGAAAAGGCTTATGAAATCAACGCTATCATCAAACAAAACTGATAAGGCATCAAATTTTTTTATCACTTGTAAACAAATCGTGTTTATCGAAAAATGGAAACAATTACGGTCTGATTGTGTTTGTTATGTAGATTCGCGAGTGTAACATTTCGACAATATCGTGACGATTGTTTTTAAATATTAACAGCTGTTCTTCCATATCTAATCTAAAGGGTCTTCGGAAGCAATCGTAATGTCAGGTTTTCGGCTCTCCAATACTGATGCTTCGTCCGTGCGCTAATTCCGTTCGATCCGAAGTGTTAGAGCGGTCAAAAAACGTTTACTAGTAATAGTATTTCAACAATTACGTACTACGCAAGGTCAAGTGACCCCACAAACGAATTGCCGTTGATGATGGTTCAGGTGCATGTATTTCAAAATATCTATGGATGTAATATTCGTTCACGTGAATCTAATTTTTCCTTTTTAACTATAGAAATTCGAATTTCGAAATAGGGTACGCGTTAAAATTAGACGGGATGATAGTTCTAGCTCTTCTGCGAACGTTGTAGAGCCACTGATTTGGCTTCAAATAATGACTAAGAGTTCTCTCAGTAGATAAGTAGTGCTTGTAGGATCTTCAGAGCAACATGGAGTTTTCGTTTACAAGGGACTACGTGGGCTCGGTCGCAAGCTATTGCATATGCATTTCTCCGTACGAAAATAATTTTATCTACTGGAAAATAGAGGCTTATTCGGTCTGATCAGCTTGCCAGGCCTTACCAGAATATCGCTCGTCAACATAAGTTGTATATTAGCCATAGCTAGAAGTCTAGCTCCGAACCACTCTGTCTCCATTACCGTCTAAATGCTCTCCAATTAAATCAGTTTATAGTCGCGGCTGTTTAATAGAGATTATGTTGTAAACCCAAAAATTTTAGCATTTAAATGAACATACTGACATTTGGTGATCACCTTGTTTTTGGCAACTTCTATTGCCAGTTATATTTACTTTGCATAGATATTATATTTATACTGAGATCGAACATTGATAGCTAAACATTAGTTAATGCCCGCTAAGAGGGCCTCCAGAATCTTCCGTACTCCACTGCTGCCCCGCATTTTTACTTTCAACCAAAAAAAACATAAATGAATCGTACGCGGATGATCCGAAATGATGTGACCACTTATTCAGTATATTATTCATGTCACACTTTGCTGTCATTAACTTTGCCCGTTTCTTTTTCTAACTTTGGCGAACTTCCTACGGAACTAGTTCGGCGTTAAAGTCCACCTGTAACGCGGTTCCGGGTCGTTAACGAAGCCTGGTTTTATATCACATTGCACAAATCTAATTCTATTCTAACCCAAGATTCTATGTATTTTTCTTAGAAATATGGCGCCCGTATACCGAGCAGCAAGGCTACCCGCTGACAGGATGCAGAAAATATTCGTACCTAGGGTTAATAAGAGATGCGTACTGTCAGGAGGTCAATTGTGCTGAAGTCGGTAGATGAACTGCACGATGCATTCAAGCTGGAGAGCCTTGATAAGGTCGATCATGTCCTAATTCCACCCGAAGTCAGACTGGCTGGACCCATCTAAGTTACGCATACCGAGTGTGTTACTAGCATCACGTGTTCACTTACTTCACACTCGTACATATATATATATATATATATATATATATATATATATAGTCGCAATCGGCAATAATAAAGGAATCGTTGTATTGTATAACATATTGTGGTTGTTTAATTTCCGACTAACATTGCGCAGAAAATACAGCATTGTCCACCGTTATGAAGACAGGAACTCCTACATGAGAGTTTTTGCGAAGCAAACAAATCAGACGGATTACTCAAGTTCGACGAAAACGCTGTGTCCCATCACTGCAGTGAACGACAGCGCGGTTTGTTGGCTGTAGCTAGAGAGCGACTTTGTTTCCATTGGCTTTCGCTACCGTCGGTGAGACTGATACAACGATTCCCAAAAATCCGCTAGATAAAAGGCAATAGAATCAGCGTTACGACCGGCAAAAGCATAGTTTACAAGTATTACTCACTCACATGGGTGCACATGCTGACCGAGTCACCGGTGACTCACTAATGCAGTATTCGCACACATGTGGAATACAGACACATACACACAAGCTGCAGTTAGATGGCATTGAGCTTGTTGCCGGCAAGTTTTACTCATCGATTTATCGAGTATTTGTATATCGTGTTTGTGCGCGCGCGTTTGTCCAGTTCGAATAGGTCTGAACTTGGTGCTTCCGTTAGTTTCTCTACCTCGAAGGTAACTTATGTGGACACCAACGCTGGCAGTAAGGTTAGAAAAAGGCTACGTTACACTCCAGCATCCAGCTGAAGCATAGACATTAATTAGATTTTTCTTAGTGAATTTTTGACTCGGTGGCCGACATGTTGTTGAATAATATTGGAGAACTCGACATAAAATGGTTTGAGGTATTCTTCTTACAAATATAGCAGACGTTGCCTCTACGAGTCCTGACTGTGACCTAACCATAGTATATAACAAGTACCAAACAGGAGCGTTGTAACGACGAGCGCTTGCCAATCAATAAATCACTATTACATTGACATGGCTCATTTACAGGGGTGTCTTTTTTTCACATTTACAACTGCTAGGTGACCTACCCCAGTTAGATATTATTAAATACTTAATTAAATGCTTGCTAGTATTACTGAACACTTCGCTTTGAAATTTTAAAGAATCAAAATTGGTTTGTATAGATATTGCTTTCCACGATGTGTATGTCCGAAGGAAGCATACAGTTATTTACCACTGTTATTAGTACCACTTGGGACCTGCTTAAGTGGAAATTGTTTATTCAGCGTTGTTCGTTTGTAAGTTTGTTGTTAATTGTGCTTTATAGGGATCATAAACGTTTTATCTAAATCTTTGGCTGCGTAGCTATACGGTGCCGCAGTCAACTACTGATCCAAATCTACAGACCTTTACCACTCTATAAACAAAAATAGTAAAATCAGTTTGTTTTTCGTTATACTTTCAGGGTTGTGCCTCTGTCTGTTCACTGTCAATATTCTGTTCCGGCGAGTCTGAAGTGAAACTTCAACGAACGTCGTCTGTTTGCGCAGTAAAAGGTTATACGTTATCTATAATGGCTTCTCTGAGTGAAGCCGAAGACCACCATGAGTATCAATAGATTATTTAAATCATAATAGATCTGTTCGTTTAGTTACTGCGGAGGATCGTACGAAGTATTGGGCATCGATCTAAGGCTATGAACTTGATTTTCACTGCGTAATCTGCGAGTGTTTAGTAAGCTCTGATATGGTATGGAAATGAGAGTTTTTCTAAAAGAAAGATGAGTCTAGATTGGCCCGATAACATCTGGCCGAGTCTAATGACTCTACCTAGAAATTAGAGCGTATACTTTTCCAGTACACTGAACTCGGAAGTTTTAGCACTGGATTATATCGTTACTACTTAGGCTAGCAGATCGTTTTCGATTCATAATTAAAATATCTAAATTATACATGGAGATAAAAACTTCAAAAGACACATTTGGGACTATGATTGTAAATTTGGATCGTGACGGCTTTCAGAAGCTGCTGCATGAAAACGACACTAGCGACAATTTGGCAAGCTAAAAAAAAAAACAAAAAAAGACGCTATACCGTTTTACTAGATAATAGTCTGCTAACGCATTATAGTCTCTACTATGGGCCAGGTATTTTGTTTTCGCATTGTGCAGTGAAAATACGTGTCGCGATCCGGCAACCGTCTATAAACAAACGTCTCTTCGCGCCAATCCTCACTCGAACCGTTTGTGTATCCTCTTACTTGATAGACCAATGACTTTCAACGAATGTGTACAACTCGGCAACGTTTGCTGTTCGTCTCAATTCTATAGCGGTCGCTATAGAGATCATCTGAATACGTCGATATGCCATCGGACCTCTCCACAATCAATTCTACCTTAGACCTGTACATATCGACGTTGACATAAACAACAGAAGCTTCTGAAGCCACCAACTCTCTCGTGAGATAGCCGTCCAATTCACAAAAGGCGACCCGGCTCATCATGAGTAAATCATAGACTATTGTCTTTTCTAGTTATGAAACGGATTCGCTGAAGGCAACGATAAAATGTCCTGATTTAGATCGCTAAAGGTTCTATTGTTATCGTTCTTCAGTTAATACGAATTAAAAGGAAATTTAGGAGTTTAGGCACGTTTTTTTTTTGGACCTTTTTCGTTTGCTCTGTGAACGAATATGGGGAATTACTATACACATGTACATATTACTACATGCCGATTTTAATCTCGGTATAAGCTACGATGTTTTAAATTTCGTTACATTTCAACAGAAATGTTTGCAATTTCTCGTATACGGCATTATTTAGGCATTGATTTTTTTGATGAAATATTATGGCGAGTTAGTATAGACGCGTTCAGTCCGAATACAAAATGTGAAATAAGACAGATAAAAATAAAATGAATGTTATCTTCTGGACCGATATAACAAATCTACTGTGTAACAGCTTTCGTCCAGTAACGTGTCTTCTGAAGCTTTTTAGACTACCTTGAACTACCATTTTCAATATGCATTGACAAATAGTAAAGATGTCAAAAGAAGATTTTCTGTGCTCGCAGGAGCTTCTTGTCAGTGGCGACGTGTGCCTTTGGATGGGTACCCTCGTGGTAATAGTTGTGTGAATTAGCGCTAGAACACGGCCCACGTGTTTCTTACATCTATACCTTAGATCCAGTTTGTGAGGAGGAATCGATGTTTGGTTTTTGTCCTTTATCTATAGGTTTCTTTTTTTGTTTGCTGGTTATGATCCTATATGGGATGCTTTAAGGAATTCCACGTGTCACTGACGAGGAACGAGCTCTGCTTTGCTGCAGAGCTTCCGTCATCGCGGTTTTCCATAGTCTATTCGGGAGTGCAAGCGTAAATTTGGCTCAAATGTTTACTGGTTAGTGAAATGTCAAAGATAAGAAACGGAACATCTAAAATACGCAATCGAAATATGTCAATTTATCTGGTTCTCCATTGATACGTTCTGCTATTAAACTCAGCTGCATCGTCAAGTGCCAGAATACTAACGAATTGATTAAAATACCCCAATAAAAGAACGGGACCCCTTCAGCGAACTAACGGGATGAATCGCGATAAAGTAAAACAATATGGCAATGGGGTCACCGACACAATGAGCGAATTAAACAAATAGAGCCACTGCGACCGGTAACTGCGATGAAAAAACAGCATTATTGCAACAGGGTGTGAAGAAAATTGTCTAAGGGCATCAGTCGAACAATCATCCAGGTTAGATTAGGTTATAGGACAATGTAAATCCAGTCCTTTACTATTAAAACGGGCCGATGAGATAACTGTAGCGCGGCGGCAGGACTGTCTGAACATTCCAAAAGGAGGACGGGATGCAAAATACAAGATAATTATAATGTGATATATTAAACGTTGCAAATCTGTCGAATGAATCCAGTAAATAGAGTTACTTAATTAAATTGCAACGGGGTGTTGTTATTACGCACAACTAGATACACCCAAAAATATCATTTCATTATATCTGAATAAGACAAAGGATCTTGTTTGAGTAGGTTCAATGTATGAGTCCTAATGTAGTTTCCATCACAACACATGTTAAAATGAATGAAATACCAACAAAATTCACTAATATTAGAATAAATTGTTGGGATAGTGTGGAGCAATGATTTTCCAAAAAAAGCCCAATGAGTGACAGCAAACAACTGCGAGGGAATTCAACTCGGCCAGATGTTACATGAACGGAGATTTATTTGGATTTACAATGACCATTTTGATGCTGGGCCTAGTTACGATTGTAAACTATTGTCGTTGTAGTGGGCAGCTACAAAATGACGAGGTTATTGGGCTGTCAACGTAAAACGATACAGCCACCCCAGCGGGGTAATAAAATCAGTGCTAGAAGATGCTCACTAAGATACCACATAATGAATCAGCCTGTCGTAACCCGTAATCAGTCTGTCTAATACCTAAAAATGCAATTTAGCCAATAATACATATTGAATTTCGATCGAATTCGTTCTTAATTGTAATCTTAAGGTAAGGTTCTTAATCTTAAGGTTAACAAAGGGTATAGGTCTCATTAAGCCTGCTGTGAGATTATCTAATTAAATTAGTTAAATCAGACAACGGCAAAATTGGCAAGCCTGCTTCTTCATTTGGCCTATGACGGAACGTTTTGTTGTTTCGCTCAGAGCTTTTGCTCTTGCAGTGCCTACGCTACAGACAAAAATTAAGACAAAACTGTATGAGAAAAAATACTATACATATGCAAAAAAGGAATAAACGATTTTTTAAATGTAATGCGAACTTTCATAGATGTAAAGGCCTACCCCGAATCATGTTATACATTCACGTGGGGTTCGCCTTCAATAGACCTTTTACGCGGTAAGCAGTTAGAAAGACATGTTATCAAGTTCCAGAATGATAAACTGATTTGGGTTTAGTGCCAAATCACGTACGAAATCCATAAAGCTGTTGCGAAATAGACGCAAACTCGCGCGAGGTGACGTAGACGAGGAGCAGTAGCTGCTGAAGTCGAAGTCGACGGTAGTAAACGTTTGCCACCGTAACTAAATATGATTGACCTTAATGCCAAAAGACGCCTATCTATATAGATTGTGCGTGATTTATCGTCCAGTGAAGGATGTGCTGTAAGCACATTTACTTCTCGGCGCCTATTATATATTCATTCTACCGTTACCACATACTTAAAGCGCTAGCTCTTGAGGACAAAGGGGAATTTCGAATCTCCACCTAATATTTTCTCCAGGTGCTTCTGGTCCGACCAGTCTGTCTGCGTAATATTACGATTGCATCATATAATTATTGCGTCATTTGGCAGCGGATTGAAATTTGTTACTATTGTTAGACAAAAAAAAAACGAGTTAATAATCTATTGTGTTTAGCGTGTGGTGGGTATTGTATTTCTACGAGCAGTACCCCCCTCCTCCCCCCTCTAACGTGATCTGCTCCACAATATGCATGAATAAGATTTGTAATGGTACGGTGAAGCTGAGTTGTTTTTGTTAATAACAAGTTCAATCTAGGAAGAAGAAACTGTGCTGCGTATTTGCGTGAGTTGAACCCTTCAATCCTACAATTGGCAATCGCAAAGTTTCCTCTTAGGCTACTAGCATAGTAAGTGTACTTCAGAACGGGAACACATAACGAGTTTTCGGACTGACATATGATGGAATTTATTTTCGGTGGGAGGTTTTTACTACGTATCGGTGTTACAGTGGCTACACGGCAGAGCTCCAAGAACGCGAGCTTTCCAGGAAGTCCGATGGCGTTCGTTAACATAAGTACTTCCAGGAATCGCATAAAAGCGTAGTTCTTCGGGTGGGCAATAGGAGAACTGATTTAAAGTTCCAGCCGTTACGCCAAATACTCGCTAACATGATCGATTCTGCTAAGCCTGGTAAAGTAGGACGTAAGAAAATTGATGACATTTATTTGATTGTATCCGCAAAAATTTTTCTTTTGCAAAAGGGGCTATTGTCTCCGTTCCGCCAAGCGCAAGATAGATCACTAATTTACCATTAATTTTGTACACCCTGCAAAATATCGTTGATACATTATAATAGCGTCCGCTGTCGAAACTGTCCAAATGGCCAAAACCGAGGATTGTTATCCAATATACTCTGGAATGAATTGTGTGTTGTACATGCAAGTTTGAAGATGCATCTTAGCTTTAATTAACCAGCCCCATCATCTGGATGGTAGCATTATGCAGTAAGATATAACGTAAGAAAAAAAATGATGCAATACGTTTATATACATGTAATTTGAATTTTTCGAAAACGTTTTGGTTTATATAAATATGCCATACAATATCTGTTCGAATATTGATGTGATCATTCCAGCAGAGTAGTCAAAGCGTTAGTTATGAAGCTGCAACAGCGACGTATCTAGATAAACGAGGATCGCAATAAATGTACAAGATAAGAAGACAATAATAGCGACGGGGCACAGTGACGAGCAACGACAGGATCGGAGCTACAAAGGCTTCTTACATTAAATCACGTATGACAACAATTTGCCTGCCGTGTTTACACAACAACAATGGTAGTTTCTTGTTAACTGAACGGTATCAACTTAGCGAGACTAAGTCAAATAATAACATTATGGAATAGAAATGGAACTATAACAATTGGCCTCGTCTACATACCACGCCCTTGTATATATACGGAAGATGTACGGCCTTTTACCTTCCCCTAGAACTTGGAAAAGGCACTAACCGTATTTTTTTCGAAAATACTCAACAAATATAGAACGCGTTTAAACAAAGGCAATTCGACAGTACACGCTACCGTACAGTCTTTGAAGCGCTATCGCTGCAAAAGGGTTAAATTGAAATATATAAAAGCCAACCAGCTGAAAATGTCTTTCGGCTATATGCGATCGGTCGACCCAGAATACGTTATATCTGTGCTGAAGCGTCTTTCTAAATATGCAAACATCGCTTTCGCGATTACATGACGATAACGTAAAGCGTCCGTTCTTCCACGAACACGGCACACGGAAGCCCGCACAAAAATGTCAACCTCGTCATGAGAGGTAAGTTCACAGGTGCATAAGTTTGATGGATCACACATCACAAGTTGATAAAATGTCGAGCTTAGAAAAACATGGCAATTCAAAAAGCAAACTGTAAGCTTGCGCTCAAACAGGTGGAGCTATCCTTAGAAATGAAACGAAACGATGTATGATGTTGATGTAGATAGCGTATTCCGAACCAGAGGCTTATGACCATTGTCTTAAGTTGGAAATGATCAACAAATACAGTCTACTATATCACCTACAGAGACATTTATAACCTGTAAAGATCAATAAATTATATTATAGGAGCTTGTTGTTAGCCAGCCACCGAAATGAAGTACATCTTATAGTAAATATCTACAGAAACACACTGCTATACTAAACAAGGTCCAGGCTCCATAAACGAAACGGCTTTGACATTAAACTAAATATAATTCGGTAATAACATCACGTCACCGGATCGTAGAGCGTCGTTATTAATGTATTTCTCATAAATCGTAGTAACGTACCCTTTATTTATGTAGAAGACGTTTAACTAAGAACGCTAAAAGCCACTTAACGCCCTTTATACTGCTTATTTATCTAGTCAAACTGTCGGCCATCGTAAATTCAACATTAATCACGTACGAATCATCCAGTCGGACCGATGAGCGTGTACTTCAGGACGCGCTCCAGCGTCGCTTAATATGCCCTGGTGACCAGACTTGTCGGGACGCTCATCGCACTGCGAAGCACATCTTTCAACTGCCATATTTCCAAGTTTATTAGTGGGGTGGGGGGCGATTATCTACCAAAGTCGTTTCTGAGAGACACTCATATGCCAGAAAATTAAGCGATTGAAATACGTCAATAGGCTACAATAAAGAAAAAAAAAGGAACTCCGTCATAGATGGGTCTTAACAAGAGCCTTACATTTTTTTTTCGCAACCTGGGGCAAAAATTATCCCAGTGACGACGAGAACTCATTCATAACGTGTGTTTTTTTTTTTTTTTTCTCAAAACGACGACCAAAAATTTGTGCTCTGGCTCGCCGAGTTAAAATCGACTGTTTTTTGCGCGATCAGTTGCAAAACTACGAAACGCGCACGATACATTCTAGGGAGCCCATTAAACTGCTTGCTTCTCGATTGTCGCAATTTCCTATAAGGGAATGGAGTACGTCGTTCATTCTATGCCACAATCGTCAGTGTATTTGAAACAGCCGATTTCGGTATGTATAGTTTGCTTCCGGTCGTGCCTATTACACCATTGATATCCTGCAAAAATAGACGGTCTAGTGTTAGATTATCATTTATCAGGTAGCTTACCTTTTCAAACACGTAAACGTTACCCTAAGAGGATAAAGCCCACAGTTCACACGTGACGTATTTCGAGTAACATCCCCGTTTATCGGTCACAGGATCTTGGGAAAGTGGATAGATTGAAACTTGCATTTGCAGAACTCCCATTTCTAGCAATGTCATATACGGCTTAGTTCAACTTCATCGTACCATTCACTACAAAACAACTCTGGCACAAACCTGATCCGATCGGGAAACGATCCGAGTGCTCACAGGTTCACTGACGCACACTACGATCGCTATTAAAGTAGAAATAGTGAACATCAATGCAGCCATAAAAAAGTACGCTTCTCGGCGTTGCCGTAGTCTAGTTTTCGTTAATTCCGTATCATCGACACCTGATATTAACAAGTTACAACAAACCTTTTAATACTGTGGTTGCTATTACAAGCTACGAACTATCTAGGTCTTACCGAAATAACAAAAATGAATGAGCAAACCACTCAACACAGGCGGTAGTAAAAAGGTTTTCGAGAATAGCTTATTACTAGTATCAGGGACTGATCAACTGACACGTCTGATTCGGATATAAGCAGTGAGTCTTCCGCTACTCTCGGCGGGCGTGCTCTGGTTGAGCTTGTGCCGTATCACAATAATATGCCCTCATCGTCTTCAGACGCCTTGAATAATCGATCTTGATTAAGTAAATAAACGCTGAACGTTCACAAAGACTCGCTCGTGCTTCGAAAGTGTTGGCGGGGCCTTACTTTGTATGACAATATCCAGCATGGTACTGAAAAGCTTAACTTATTCATCGTAAGAACTTTGCATAACTGCACTGTGAAATTAATATTACACAGTTATACAGATTTGACATTGGCAACAGCTTACAACCATCTACTCTGGTATTTTTAGATAGTCAGCGTCAACAAGAGGTAAGACCATCATGATACATCTCATTGGCGAAGGTTCGATTACCGCCTCCCGTTCCATCACGTTCATTGATTTACTCCCTTCGGCACACAGACAACCTACACAAGTCATGTTGCTATATTCAATGGAACGGACTATATGGAACGGACTTCTTGGTAACGAACATTGGGAGCAGACGATGACAAATACCAACACGAAACGGATGCCATAAGGATTTGAGATCTATTTGTGGATATCTTGAAAACACGCGAACTAGCCCACTCGCTTCGTCCGAAGACTATTCATAAGGGAAGAAGAATTTTCTATATAATGCACGCGTATTGAAGCACAACGTGACTCTTCTGATCGCCGATTCCTACCACAATCAAACGTCGATCTACCTTGACCACAAGCCGACGGAATATCCCAAGATCTTACACAACTTCAGCCGCTTTTCCCCGCAACAGCATTTAGAGGTCAACGTGCAAGTCAAAACTATCAAAAAATAAAGTACAAGCCATTGATCAGCACATAATAGTCCTTGAATATTCGAATCACACGCATGAACGACTTCATTGGCGCCCACAAAGGTGAAGTCTTTTAAGCTGTTCACCGGCTACTCCGTGACACGTGCAGCACTGAGAAACCGTTCGGCGGAATCTCAGTAGTTCGCTGCCTGTTGCCAGGCGCGGCACTGATGCCAATAATCAAGACAGCAATCCCGTTTGTTAAGGTACTTTATGATACACCACCGAAAGCACCTCACCGCGGCTAATGGTTCTTGTTAGATATTGGTGAGGATAGGTTTCCTTAAGGCCGGCGAACTGTCGAAAAATCCTATTATTCTGCCCGCCAACCTTATTATGTAATTGAATTTTCTGAAATATTAATAATTTTCCATCGATCTTTTTTACGAGGAGGCCACGGTCTACCATGCACTCGATCGGACTTCGGATGACGTATCACGTTACCGTGGACTCCCCGACAGTTTCGAGGTAACCAAACCACACTCGCGTACTATACGGCTTACAGAAGACGTCCCTCATGAGGAACTTGGTCCTGTTAAATATGCAACGGCACCAGAATAGTCGAACAGAGTTTCGAGATCATACTGCTCTTTATGAGGTACGTACGCTTTCCCAAGATGTCGACATAACACTTAACCATCGCCGCCATTCTCCGATACGGCTTCGTTTCGCAGTGGCTATTCACACAGTGCAAACAAAAAACTAATTTCTTTCAAAAGACTTATTTTCAATCACGACCAGCTATACATTGTCCTAAGCCATGTCCCCGGGGTTTGCAAATGTTAAGCTAAGGCAACACTATTACCGAAATCTATTCACAGGAACAGAACTGCTTTGTACACGTCGCTCGATAGCCCTCACACACCGCCTCGATAACACCGCCATAACATGCCCACACTCTGGTGACAAATTGACATCTACGAGTATTCACAGCTTACGTTCCTTTCAGTTTTCAGGTCGAAAAAAATACTGAGGGATGAAATTCCGCGTAAGAAAAACGTTTTTTGCTCTTCATCAATAGATCTATACGTCGAGTTTGTGGAGCTGAATTTGCCAAAAACGTTCTTTCAATTGAGTTTTCGCGAAAAATATATGAGTATCAAAAAAATTGTTCAAGGTATTTGTTTTTTTTGAACAAATCAATAGATTTCGACAAACTGAACAAGTATGGGGTGCATTTTCCTATGCCCGAAGCGGGCAGAGCAGCTTGAAAAAGGCAAAAATAGAGCATAGCATTGGTTTCTTCAGATGGTAGTGAAGCGAAGATCAGCTCCGAAAGAATTAAGCAAGTTTTCTGAATCAAACGACTTTCTAATGTACGTCAACTGGGTAAGTTGAAGAGGCTAGTATACTGTACATGCTGCCTTCTCGAAAAGGTCCTCTGTGATATTCTTCGAGAATAATACAAAAATATCGAAAACAATCTTCTACTGGAATAACCACAGAAGAAGTGAGATAAAATCTCAGACTGGCGCCACGTACATTGGCTGAACTTATTTAGAATTTGCATTATTTTTGGCGAATTTTTTAATCTAGCTCGGTTATTTTGTCGAAGAACAGGCCACATACAGGACAGTAACGGATTAACGAAATGTAATAACGAAGTTACCTGGACTAACCAATTGTGGAACACTTTTCATCCTATGATTGTGCCAAGGATACCTTACAGTGTAGGAAATTGGCTAAATCAAAGGTAACCGAACGTTGCAACAGGATGACAAGTTTAGCACAACAGGATCTCAGGAGAACTACAAGCGGACGCTTACAGCAGTGTCTGCCTGCCAATTTATGCCACAGGTTGGGTGTTCCGCGGATCAAAGACTAGAATAAGCAAATAATCACAGCGCAGTAGAAGACTTGTCGGATCATTTTAATGGAAGCGCTACATGTATGGAGCAGAGTAACTGCAACGAAATAAATGCCGCTAATATATTCACCAGAACAGGGAAATCGAATTACTCTAGCGGGATAGTACAGCAGGTGACACTGTAGTTATCTCAGGAGAATCCAAATCGGATTGTCTAGGATTGTAATCGACTATGTGATGCTACGCGTGGCATCATTAGAGCCCGTTCATGCAGGATAACTATTGGTATCAATTTACTTACGTTAGATTTGGTATAATGTCGATGAATCGGATTAATTCATCGCAAAGCAGTGCTCTTGGGATCGAGTCCTTTTTTTTTTATCGCGACAATTTCGTTTTGCTAACAACTGTACATGAGAGAGAGAGAGATGGAGAGAGAGAGAGAGAGAGAGAGAGAGAGAGAGAGAGAGATTGTTCACTTTGGAAAATTTGCTCTGTTTTAGTAGATGAATCTTTAAATCTTCATTAAAACACCGTTTGGTTTTCAAACTCTACAAAACATTTGATCTGGAAAATATAACAATTTATCATGTACTATTTATCAACAAAAAAAAACAAGTACGAAAAAACTGAAAGTTGACTAGTTTCAACCATCCTAGTTCATTGCGCAAGCACGTTTCCTAAACTACTGAGTATGTGGGGGGTAGTCGGAAGGCGCGAGGCTTAATTTGTAAAATGCTAGATTTAGTATTAATCAAGGAAAAATTTTTGACCTCTTGCCTTTGAATTTGCCTTCCTCTTGCCCTGAGCTCTTGCCAAAGCTTTTGGAAATCGATGAAATAACACGTTAGATTGTATTTCCGCTATAAACTGAAGTCAAGCAAGTGAATAAATATAGCAGAAAACAAGCAGGGCAAAGTTTGCCGCTCGGTCTAGGAATTCACAACGCAACCGTAAAGGTATATAGGTATATCTACCATCAAATGGAAGCTTTTCAATGTTAAGCTATGTAGAACAAGAATCGTATGGGAACACGATAATAGGTAAGTAATACTGCAACAAAGGTAGTTTCCAAAAGATGCACATTTTTCAAACGAAGCAAATGTGGGTACACGTGAGAATTTGTGCTAAACTAGATGTAATATCGGCAAATCCAAAGACCGTTAGGCGTAGGTCTCTGTTATCTTTTTGCACAACTTGGATGAGAAGAAAATTTCAGCTATAGATTGCTCTCAAGTTTTTGCAGGGAATCTATCATGCAACAAAAAAAAATTACCTGTTCAAAAATGGCGATAGGTATGCTCAAAAAAGGAACCTGTCACTAAGATGGTTAGAAATATAGGCCTAAAAATAAGGCTAAAGAATTTCTGCTACGAACCAATTCGTCGGCCTGGAAACGTTGTCTGTCTAAGTTGAAAAGAGGTATCTTGTTAAAGGTGAGAGGACGTTTTCACGGGTAAAATGTTGCCCTAGTAAAGATAATTTAGTAACCACATATTTTTCACATATTTAAAGATGACAAAAAAAATATACATGCATTTATAAATAAATTATGCGGCCTAATTAAGGAGTAACTGAGATCTAAAGCATCGTCATAAAGCATTTAGTGCTGATATCCCGTAATGAACAACGAAGCTTCTGGCATAGCGTAGGCCACTTTCGACTTATTGATGGCCAGAATGCAATGATCTTCACATGGGTCAAACGTAGCTATATGGTAAACCAAAAAATGAAACACGCAAATCATAGTACCAAAATTCGACCTTTCACGGTTGCTTTTGCCACCTTTTGCCGTATTTCCGTTTGTGGGTCTTCCATTTCTAGAGCAGGTGTTAAGAGATGCTTACGTATATTTCGTATTCCGATCTCAAGTGCAGTGCTTTCCATGAGCGCAAATGAAATAGCATAATCAGCGTACAGGGCCTTATAGTAGTGTTCACAGAGCTCTTATAGGATACTACTGACTGGGTTGGTTGCAAAAAAAAGATAGGCGAAGAAACAACAGTGGAAACAAAAATACCTTCAGAAAAAAATTTCTTGACGAACCTCTTCGGCTCGTTGGTCTTTTTCATCTTTAGCCTTTTTTTCTTCCAGAGTTTTCTATTCTTTCGAAACGAAGGCGTCGAGATAAGAGTGGGGTGAATGACAAGCTTCGAAGATTGTCGTTCGTAAGTGACGCGACACCTTGTCGACCGAGAACGGCGGCCAGTTTTTTTCATTTTCAACATCGTTGCATTCGACTCAATAACATGTCGTCAGCCATTCGTGAATGAGTGGACGAGAAAATCCTCGAGATTTACGTGGAAAAAAACGAGTCCTTTGGCCAGCTTTATTATATTCATATGAATCTGTACAGAGAAGTTTGTGGAAGGAATAAGGTAATGTTTGCCCATTTTCCAGTAGCATTTAGGGGTGGCTGCGCAAAAAGACGTTTCATAATTAAACACTACCTTTCACAATATTGATTACATTCTTTCCTTTCCTCTAATACTTGTGTGACGCGTGAGTTACCTGAGCATTTTACGCTACCACGCTACCCTCATCGCCTGTTCACACGTATCGCCATTATAGGTAGTTGTGCGCGTATAGAAATCTTCGCGGACGTTCGTTTCCGTTTGACTTAGCTTTTCAAAATGATCTAAATTTTTCAAGCGAGGTTACTGCTACGATTAAACAATCGAACAGCTGGCAACTAGAACGCGTCGTTTGCATCAGGTACAACTAATTCCTCGCGTTGAGTTCACTGACTTCATTTGCGAGCCAGTCGGCGGTGCTGCTGTTTTCTGCGGCGGTTGTGGCGATGGCCAGTATCACTGTGAATGAAAGGTCTCTATAGTCCACCGTCAAAATTCTTTTCCGTTACTCAGTAAAAGGAATGAACGTTTACGATGTGGGCAACCAGCAGCACGGGCCAGTGGTGGTCTTGACAGATGCTGCCCTTCGCAGATTCCCAGCAACTCCTCAAAAGGTCAAGCAAGGGCCCCTGATCATTCGTTTTCTTTCTCAGGCCATCGCAAAGCATTCGTTATTCGTTCGTTGGACACGATTAGGGGGGTTCGGCTATCTTTCTGTCTCGGTTTCTGCACCATCGCGACGACGAAGAGAGTAGTTAGTAGCTTTGCTGCTGCTATTTGGACGCAGGAGGTTGGATCCGACCTGAAACCCTATGCTGCTTCTGAATAGGGTTTCAGGGCGGATCAAATCGGAAGCGAACAGAAAAGCAAAAATACTGTTGGTCATATTGTTGGTGTCATACTATTGATCTTAATACTGATTGACGATACCATAATCGTGCTTAAACGAGCGAACCAAGCGTCTCATGGACTCCAACGAACCGACACTTACTTTGTTCACTTGAAGGATCCTATAGAAAACGACGAACCGAAATCCGACGCTCGACGTAATGCTTACATTACATATAGTTGAGCAAATTGGTAATTTACCATAGGACGACGAAACTTTGTACCCTTCTTACCCCAGTTTAGAAGCACCATGTAAATCAGTATTTAAGGTTGAATTGAAATACCACCGCCTATTCTGTATGCTAAATAGTGCTAGTGTTGCGCAGGCAACACAGCCTTCGCAGTGTATACATTGATCTACGAATAAATTAACTTATTCGCAAAAAAAATAAATAGAATTTTTAGAAAATTTTCGCCTAGAACATGATTTATTTATATATATATATATATATGCAAACAAACCAAAGCTCGTGCTTCTGTAAAGAGGCCTGTACCAAATATATATATATATATATATCTGTGAGGTAGGAAGTGAGTTATAGTATGAAGTAAGCAATTGTGGATATAGAATTCACGAGAGTAGCGGCTGCAGAATTATGAAGCTATGAACAAATCGCAGAGTAGCATCTTGTGCGAAATTGACCGTTGTAGCCTTTAAGGCAAGTAAGCAAACACCAACCGAAAAGAACCGGGATTGGACCGGTCAAAAAGACACCAGAGTGCCTCGGCATTGGAGTGATTGCCGCTTGATGAGGTACAGATGTCCCTGTGGGCATTCATTCGAAGCCACTTTGTTGGCCCATGCAGTTTCCTAATGAAGGGTGAGACTAATTGACAGGGGATGAATGCTGCTACGGTACGTGCAGCATTTCCATGCACGATGCGGTTATTTATTCCAATTTCCGCGGAGCAAACGTCGGGAGATGGATTCGAATGGTATAATAAAGCGCATATCGGATAATTGTTCTTTGATTTATTAAGTATATCACGTACTCATCTTATTGAATTAGTATCTTTGTACATTGCGTTGCTTATGTAACTAAAATAGTTTGTTCGACTCGATGGTTAACAAACAGGTATACGGTAGTGTTTCTTAGTCAGTTCTATAGTTTTACCATTTACTATTTGTCTTATATCTAAAAAAGTACTTCACTAGGCTTTTTGTGAACGATCTCCTCATTGCTGAATAATTGTTTTGAAACTGAATCGGTGGTATAGATAGTCAAAGGCTAGAACACTATCTAAACATGAGATTAAACATGAAAATAGTAAAGTATGCAGGTTTCTAGATACGTGGTATGGTGCTAATCAATCCAAATGAATAGATAGAGATAGGTAGGTATACAAATTTACGTTTATACCTGTTCCCTATTTACGTGTCGAATTCACATATAATAATAATATATTTACGATAAGTACAATCTTCAACTTATAACAGTTAAGACAATAAAGCAGCCACTTCCCATTTTCCAACATTTCAATCTGATATTTGCTGAACAAAAGTCGTATAATAAATACAGTGCCTGGCGTTAGGTAAACGGGGAATACGAAGAGTGTGGGCAGATCCGGGTCTAGCTCACTTTGTAGGTTACAATGATAATTCAACATACTCCTATTAATGTCCTGTACGGTAACGTGACTTCTCTTACACAAATTAAGGTGAACACCCAGACGCCAATCTCCAGCTCGCGTTGGATCTGCTCTCATTTCCTGCGCAGTTTTTCGACTGCTGCAAAGCTTCCCGCATCTTAGTGGTTTGAATGTGCTTGCCATGACTATCAGTTGTAGGAAGCTTGCCTGGTGAGAAATATACTTTCCAGATTTTTTCTCTTGCCCCCGCCCCCATGTTTATAATGTCTAGCACTAGCAACACAAAATAGCAATAAAGCTAACGTCCAGTGACCATAACGCTCGTGCGTCGGAATATAAACGATCTTATAGAAGACTAACGTCGGCCGCTACGTTACCGCCTCCGGAACCGCTCCAGCCTGCGGCGTTCACTGCGGCGATTGCGAAAAGGCTCTGGCAAGCTCTTTGTCGAGCTTTGTTGAGAAATGCTAAGGAGGTACTTTTCGAGAAGAACCCAAGGGAGAGGAAAACGAGAGCAGACGGACGGACGGACGGACGGACGGACGGACGGACGGACGGACGGACGAACGAATAGTACGAAGATGTAAAGAAACGCAGTCCGGCATGGCAATGGCGGCATCGGTTGCAGCAACCTTAACCGCCATAGCCACAGCCTATGAGCCCCCGCGGGAATTCGATAGAGTCGTCCTCGTTCCTAAGCTTTAGCTATAGAGCCTTCTCTGCCATAGGTGGACGACCAGGCCGGATATTGGGAATGCGGATAGCCCAGCACTAGCTGGTGGAACGGCTAGAAACCAAGAGAAGCAGATCTAATCAAAACAAAGCGTAGCCCAGGGCCATTCTCAGTCGTCGTTATATCGGCCTTCTATCACCATCTAACATACTACCACCATTTCTCTCTCTCTCTTCTTTCACTGTACTTTCTTTTGCAGGCCTACCTACGCCTTTGAACGCGGCAGCCATCGACGTCACATATGGCCACCCTCACGGGCTGTTGTTGAGCCGAAAAGGTCTCGATGCCTGTTTGACTGCCCCTCGCTACGTTTGCCAGCTGAAGCCAACTGACCAGCAGATCGCTACTTCTTCCGCTGTCGTCAGCGCTATTCAGACCCTTTTTCGCATGTTCGAACAGGGGAAGACCGGGTCAACTTTCCGGCGTACTCATGCCAGGGGATATATTGTGTCCTCTGCTTTTACCAGCCGCATCACTGCCATCAATCCTTCTAGCTTCTCCATCACGTTCATGTTCACACTTTTCTATTCCCTCGAATGGACAGCTAGCGGATGTTGCTGCTCATCGCTGCGTATATGGCCGTTCATTTCGTCATGATCCGGAACGCGTTCGTCAAGTCGTCTTCCACTTCCTCTACTTTTCTTTTTTCCTTTCCTGCTCCTACATTCATCCCTGATCCCAAAGCGAACCCTAAGAGCCCGCTCTCTCTTACCAAACAAACCATACCTCTTCCCCGCTGGAGTTCCGTCTCTACAGTAGGCGAGGGTGGACAACGCTTGCAATTTGCGGCGGCTGCGGGCCGTCTACGCCGAGAAACATCCGTCGGTCTGTGTGAACGTCCGTGAAGAGATGAAACGATCCACAGGGCGTGGACTTTGTTGTGACGTGTTGAGGGAAAAAATCGTAACTTGTAGATGTCCCCGCACGTGGATGAATAAAGTTAGACGCAAGTTACGGCAATTCAACAAACTATTATGCTACCGTCATGGAAGCATTAGTTAAAATCAACTGGACTGTGTCAAGTGCCTTATTAAGGACACAAGCTGTAGAGTAATTGCGCGGACGTCTGGGTACCCTAGATTGTATTCCCATTGATAGCGTACGTCATGCCTGTAGCCCCCACACACAGCTACACGAATCCTCTATAAAAGAGGATTCGCAGATGTAAAAGTTATCATCAATTGAATTTCAAAGTCTTATGCAAAACGAGTAATGTATACCTTTGTTCGAGTCTGTGGGCAATAATACATATGATGCGGATAATAAAATAAGAGATTTTTTTTAGGGAATCAGAGAAAAAAATTACCCACATTATATGCATTATTGCCCACAAGGTATCCCTTTAGGAATGACCGATTCACAAGCAAGCCATAGCAAGCTTTGCAAAACAGATACATCTGTTCCAATAGAACGCAAAGTAGCCTTTTAATTATTGACTTGTAGCTTGGCACAATCGAAAATGGATTTCCCCCATGTAGGCCGCAGTAGCAATGGACACGTTCCAAGTAAAACACACTTATTGACAGCACAATATATTATGATTGTAAACGAGAACTTCTTGCCAAGGTTCAGATAACAAAAAAAAAAAAACAAAACCCATACATATTTCTGTGAACAATGGCTTGTTACGACACCATAATATATTTCAAGATAACCCATATATAGGTGTCATATGAATGTAGGTTACCTAGTAATCATTACATAGTTTTTTAGAAATAACTAAGGTAATTTCGCAACGAATTTATATAGAACCTTGCGAGTTTATTCGTTTATTCACTGTTTCGATATTAACACCAATAGATTTTATGTCGTCGCTAAACAAAGACATACATATGCTAGCTAGAGACCAATTTCTAGTAGAGTCGTTAGCTAAGCACCTTATTGCCCCGCGTGGTCCAAAAGCTGGTAAAAGTGGTTCCTTATTCGTGAATATAGTTCACTGAAACCTGCCTTTAAGAGGAATTTTAATTGTAAACCACAAGAAAGAGTGGCCGTAGGTACTTATACCATTGCCGCCTGGGGGTCCGTCACTGAACGCTGCGAACCTGGACAACAACGAAAATTCATTTGGTGGACGAACACCTTCAAGGGGCGAAACAACGTGAGTCAGATGAATGCGGCAGATTATTGTACGGCTGTGTTTCCACTTTGAATCGTTACGAGTCCCCTTAGACGATTTCACTGATTGTCCAGACGTTGGCTTATCGACGCCAACGTTAATGCGGACGCAGGAAGGTCATGGCCGGCTCCGTACCCAGGGCCCTCAGCCGGATAACGTCATCTACCAGCCTACTTATTAAAAGGCCAACTTAAGGCTCAAGTAGAGTTCGAACATACTCATACCACCGATGGGTCAGGCAAACGACGTGGAGCGAAAGCCTGTTAATAAAAGCCGCGAACTATCAGTCAAGCCGCCTTTGTTTTGCACATCATTAAGCCTCTGTCGACCAAACTCATACAGATAGATGCCATTCGCACGAGAAAAGCGTTCTGTTGAAGCGATGTATGGATACGTACAATATATTATAAGTCAAAACATATGACAGTAGTTTGTTCAAGCTGCAAATATACTTAACATTATCTGAAATAACTAAATAATCAGGCTATTGATAATCTATAGGACAGGGATCTAGTGAAACTGTGCTTTTTTTATACGTCTCAGACGAGTGTTCTCATATCGTATTCCGACAAACCGACAGTTCTGATTAGAAATTGCCAAATAAATTAGATATCACCGGTCTTTGTTCGCAGCATATCTATATCATTTTGCGACCATATATAGGAGCTCGTTTAGCCGTTTAGTAGTATAACATGCTTTGTTAGTCAGGATCTGTAATCGACATAATGACGTTTACGTATGGCTGTTCTCATAATACCTTTTTAGAAGTTAAAGGTACGCCGTAAGCGATCAGATAAAAAAAAAATCGAACACCACACTTAATCTCCGGGTTTATATTTAATTGGATAGCACTTTTCACATAGCGCTTAATAGAACAATCACAATTAAACGCATAGACGTTCCGGGTCATTATGGCTCTGACAACAAAATGTAGAAGGTCTCAACCCAGAAGAAAGCCTTGGAATGCTGCATTGTAAGCTTTCGTCTTTCACTGTTAGCAACACCCAATGAACATAAAAACCCATAATATAAAATGAAGATATCTGTTAAAAATATTACGATTGAATAAATCTGCCTATTTTCGAATTATTTTCAATGAGGAATTCAGCCTATTTGGCTTTCGAGACGTTGTCCAACGCCACTACTTTTGTCACTGTTATTCAAAATTGTGCGGAGCTGCCTCTACAATGAACGGGTCCCTCGCCGTCCTAGTGTGCCTGCTTGCCTTCAAGGCTCATTGGCTTCCTGGAGTTGGCTTCGCTCGAGCGGTAGACGAGTTAGCGAAGCCAACATGACCTTTTCCTGTTGGCAAACCCGCTGCCGCCTCGGCCGGCGTCGCCGGGTTTGCTATGCCTTACAATGGCGCCTAACTTCGCTGCTGCCATTGGTCGTGGCCCCCGTCGACCGAAACAGCCTTTATGACACGCGAGCGTAGTTAGAACAATTTTAGTCCTCCATCTGAAAAGCGAGGTCGACGTACTGACATCCGGGCTATACGCACCATGTATTCGAAGAATGGGGAACACTGGAAGAACGGTAGCCAGGACACGACGATGATGATGTTCCATTCAAACAAGTAATCAAATACATAAAAGGTCGCTACGATTAGGCTTTACGTAGTGTACGTTACGAAAAATGCTGCCAATACTAATACCAAAAAATAAAATGCTATACCCCTAATCGTGTGCCACACAGGGAGCATTTCGAATACTAGAAGCATTTGCAGAACGACATTTTAGCTGAAATTTAACGTTTTTCTTACAACCATACACATAGCAGATGTGCCTGATGAATGCAGGCACAACCTTAAACTGTGACGTATTAAAGCTGAAAAGGGTTCTTACATTGTCACAAACAACGCTGCTCACACAAAGAGTGTTAACGCACAGACGTATTCGCCTACACAAAAATTTACCCACTGCATGATAAAAATGTCATGCTTTATTAAACGGAAAGGTCTGATGATACCTGTCCAGCTATTGCCTTGCTATTATTTGCTGGTAAGTATCAGCGCCCTTGAAAATATGTACATTTGGTAAATATCGGAGCGACTCCACATTTAGCAACACACGTGTTGACTAAAAAGATCTGATTTGCAATATTAGCCGATGGTCTTTGTTTCAATTAAACCCTTCCTCAGCCAATACATTGGCAGTGCGCACTGATCAGTAGAACTATCTTGTCAATTTTAACTACGTAAGTTTAGGCTGCGTTTCTCTGGCTGAATTAGGCCATTCACTCGTCTACGCAATTCAAGAACACCCGAATCCTTGCAGCTTTTACTGTAAAACTTCCTTGATAGAAACGCTTCGTACATTGTGTGGCTATCATTTTTCGTAACAAAGCTTGTGGGTTGGAAAATGGAACATAAATGAGGTATTAAAAGACTAATCTGCCGTTTTATTAATAGAGTAGCCCAAAAGTTGTGGTAACTGAAACTGTAGTCTCGCACAAACGTCCTTGAAGGCTAATGAAAATCAAAGGTTGGGGTGATATCTACAGCTGATCAATGCTACGGCTACAATCAATTATGTTGCAATAAATGATTATAATACCAAGACAAGAGTAGTCAAGTTATTCAGAATGATCGCAATTTTTCTCCCGCCCTATCGCCTCGATGCCACCGAAGTAAGTTTGCTCCCCTTCCGGAACGAGTGAGAAGTTCCTTGATCTGACTGCGACTTCCTTAATGTTTGCTGTACACGTCTAACAGCCACAGCCTCGTCGTTTTCGCATAGATTTACTTACAACACAAAGATCGTATCTATCAAGGTGACGTTTTTCCTGCGTGATCTGTGGATGATGGAAACGATTTTCAGTTTTTTGCTAAACTAATGTTTTAAAGAAGTGATGATAAACTTAACCCAGCTAGCTTAATATCGTCATAAGCTAATGTTGGGTATTTGGCCTTAAACTACCGGCGAAACACATTGTCCATTCATCATCTACAATCCTTTCATTAACGCGCACAATAAAGTTATTCATTAGCCTAGGAAACAAAGTTAGATGGCCGAGTTCCCAGTTAGAATGTGCCCGAAATTGAGACGACATTATCATGATGGCTTTATCGTACGTTTTTGACTAAAATAGATGAAAAGGAAGAGAGGATCAAAAGGATCTCGACATGGGCGGTACAAATGATTCTAGACAACTGTTACGTATGAGAGGCTTCAACGTAAGTAAGGCAAATTTGACAAAGTGCTTCTATTTTCCAGTAATTCGAGTATACCAAATTTAAACCAGCGTATCGTTCAGAGGATAACAAAGCTAAGAGGTATTAATTTGATCAGTTTTTTTTTTTTAAGTTATTCTGCCCTCAGAAACCTGGCCGCTTTAATAGCTGGTGCATTACGGGTTAGAAAATGGAGGGGAGGCGAGTACGTCAGCTGCACCTAGCCATAGCGTAAATCTTATTAAGCGAGAACACGTTAAGCACTTCAGGAAAAACTGAACATAAATAAAACATACGACTTTGGCGCGTTCGGAGGACACAAGGACGACGAGTCCTTTGATGTCGGCTTCGAATATTTAGTGCGACAATATGCAATCCCTGGCCTAAGCAAAAACCGTTAAAAGCGACCAGGAACGGTCCAGTAAATCAAATAAAGAGGGTATAAGAAAAAACCATGGGCAAAGAGGTCACTCGGCTTCTTTACCGGATTAGAGAGGTAAACGATGATGTGTATTTTTCTATATCTTTTAATCTATTTTCTGCCACTTTAGTTACGGCCAACTATGCGAATCAGGACATTGTGTCATAAAAAAATACTCATATGCTGATGTTTGTGAAAAGGAATGAGCTTTTGTATTGCGTGCTGAAAATTATGGGATATTTTCCTTCTTCAAAGATTTATAAAGATGCTGACATTTCAGCATAAGTATTTACAGGTAACAAGTATCTATAAATTTTTAGAGACACACGCAGACAATTAACTCTGAGACTGAAATCTGTCCATTAAGTACATAGGTTATTGATCTCGGGATCATCAGGTTCGCTAGGACGTACTCTTTACTACTACAAATATCATGTTCATTTCATCCCGACTGGCTGCAAGCAGTTACTATCTTGCGAAAAGTGGGCGATATTTACGTGTATCGGTTGAAAAAGACACGAAGAAAAGAGTAGTAGAGAAGTATGACCCAGTTGTGGCCCGTTTCTTATAGGGCGTCAAGTTAACCAGTTTGCCACGCACAACCATGATAATAACGTACCACGTTACGTTTGACAAGCCCGTACTTACGTATGTTCGTACACGTATCGTGCGCTCAATATAAGTATTCAGATCGCGTAGTCAGACACTACTGCAGATTATTATTATTATTATCTGTCTGAGTTAGGGACTGGATCGTGCGAGTGGCAGACATAATAGCTATGTTTCAAACAGGGGCTACATGGGGCATTGAAGACTACCGTCGCAAAAATAATAGCGAAAACTATATCAAAGGTGGCTTTTTTCAAACTCGTACGGTAAACGCATACAATCCTAGCTACTGTTTTTTGAAGAATTTACCGACCCGGTCCGTACTAGTCACTTAGAGCAAAAAAATCGACAAATTTACAAGTTATTTATTTTTTTTCTTGCTACAAGCTGGTTCGAAATAAAATAATGATTTATTGCGGTTTTTGTCTATAAAGAAGATGGGGCGTCGACTTATATAATGAAGCCGACGCCCCATCAACATCGTTGTATAGTGCATGCGCCAGACAACGGTAGCAAGCATTCAACTTAGGTTTTCAAGAAAATTCCTTACAATTCATTCATTTTATTAGGTTCGAAACCTTATCCGTAACCTACTCCTAACTTAACAGAATGTTACAGTAGAGATTGCTGTTAATACACAGAATTAGCCGATGGGTCGAAAACCTCTGTCTGACTCTCTCGCAACCGTTGGCCTTCAACTGGCTGATCGTAATACTTGAAATAAATATGGAAACTAATTTTACAAGCATCTGATAATAACGGCAAATGAGAATTGCAATAGAGATGCAACACACGCGGGTGTATACAAGAAAAGAAAACGACTAAAATCAGTAACTTTATATGGGCTGCTCCAATACAAAAACTTTGTTTTTGCTTGCAATGCAAATATCTGGTGAAGACAGCGAGCCCTTCGTCGGACCTAGTGGGGCTTGTGCTTTTTCGCTTACATTGGCCTTTGTCGCCGCACCTTTTAGTTTTGCAGAGGTCCTAATGACTGCCGCTGCAGTCCTATCAGCAGATGTAGTTGCTGTAGGAAGAGCCGACTGCCGAAGAAACAGTGACGGAATCGGCGCTGGGTTCGTGTCGGCTTTTTGCATCGTCTGCTGCTGCTGCTGCTGGGATGGCTGGTGAAGGCTAAGTAATGAGAATGATGAATCAGACGACAGCATCGATGCCGTCGGTGAGGTGTTTTTGAAGTGCCGAACCTCCTCATTAATGAACCTGCAGCCCACAACGACAACGATATGTCAGCTCTTATATAAGTAGGAATTTCACCATACTCTAGTTCTTCTCGTCCTTCCGTTTCCATGGTCCATAGTCGTCCAATGGAACTCGGATACGTGTGCAAGTTAATACGTTTTTTCATTGATTCAGTATCAAAATCTTAATACTAGTAGTAGTAGCCACGTAGTTTTATGTTTCATAATTCAAAATATACTTGGTCTCTGGGGTTCTAGCCAATTACGCTAATCCGTGGGTTTCGTAATAATAGCATATTAAGTGCTTCAAAAAAATTTTATGTGTGTTCTGTGCATCATATTCATATGACGCTTTCAGACGTATCCATGATACGATTAATCGTCTGAATCAGAAAATCAGTGATTTAGTCGGACGACAGCTCCACAATCAGCATGGCAGGCAGTATTAAAACGCCTCACACGAATACGAAGAAAAGTAGTAGTAAAGGAAAAAATAGTTATCTCGAGTTAGGTAACTGCATCGAATAGTAAGTTGAAAGCTTCTATAATTTTACCGAAGTCAGCATATTTACAGGGCTCGTTATGAAATCACCAACTATAGTTTTTGGCTTTTTGTCTTTTGATGTAATATTATGCTTTCTTTCAATCAAATCAGACCGTAACACAAAGACCGTAAAAAAAAAAGCTCTGCAGTAAAAATTTAGCTGATTGGTACCGAAATAGGACTTGGCCGTACGAAACGAACGTTTATATTTATACCATATTCCACCCACTGAACCCATCGACTGAGTACTGAAAGCGCCGTATGGCCGAGTTTCCATTGGAAAGTCAAGACTTAATAGAAAATTATAATTGCACTGAGAACCGATGAGCTTGATTGTTCTTTTCACATATTTTCATAACAGGCGATATGGCACACTGAATTAAGATGTATGGAGGAGGCAATCTGCTTTTACAGCTTAATTCAGTGTACCATATTTTAGCTTCTAGTAAATATAATGTGTTGGAGCTTCACAAGCGGAGCAATTGCCCGCTTTTTATGGCATCTCTTCCACGCCGATACCGGCATATATTTTTGCTAGCTTATGACGGTACTCACTACTAAGGTAGGCCAGACTAAAAACATGCTTTTAAAAACCCGCATCGCCACCATAGATCCACGTTCAGTTATTTCAGATCTAAACATTTTAAAGCATCTCCAGAGGTATTTGAACGTCTGCGTTAAGCCTATTGAGGCTATCCTGCCTACACAGCAGGCCGTAGGCAAGAATGACATTCTATTGATCTACCATAATTTTTCTGTAGTTCCAAATTATAATTTAGGTAATCAAGGCATAGCAAATTTGAGGAAGGTAACATTAACTCAAACGCACAGCAAGTACTAAAGGACTGGTCGAAGTTGTTTGTTAAGTTTTAAAGATTGGACCGTAGCTATGTAAGACGTACACTACCCTTGTTAGCCGTCTGAAATGGATGGCTCGGATCTTGAATGGCAAACAACTCATTAGCTCACTGGCTTAGAGGGTAGCTTGTAAACATACGACTAACATCAGATACCTTGAATGTATGGAGTTTTTGTTGGATGGAAAAGCTAGGAGTCGGGGGGCGCTGTAGAACAAGTAAAGTGCACAAGAAGGCGCGACTTCTCATGAACCATCAACATTTCACCTAGTATCTGGCAATGCAACCTTGATGACAGGTTGCCAGTGTGCTTTGTTATAGGTGTGAAGCACTGTTTCCACTTCTATAGGAGATACCGAAGTCCAGAGTTAACCCAGATCTTCATCCAAAGAGGACCTCGATTTGCGTTTGTGCTGAGAGATGCGTGATAAGTACAAGACGCTCAACGAGGATCTGCATACGCCAGATAAATATAAATTGATTTGGTAAATAATGCGCGTGAAAATTAACAAAAACGCTTTTTATGTTCCAGAATAACATTTACGTCAACATACAAGTGTTATCCCTTCTCTGAATACTATTTCGCCATACTATCCCAATAATGTGGCATTTTTTACATCGATTAAGGTATGCACTGAAGTACAGCACAACTTATTTGCGTATCCCAAACACAACAACGCCATACAGCTTTTGCAATAGGAGTTGAAGAGATATTAAAACCTTTCACGGCAAAGATTTGCTGAGAAGAAGGACAACATTGTTGACCCAGCATCCGTAAGACTTCGTCCGAGAGTCGCCCAAAAATATAGCCAATATATGATAAACAAACTCGTTTAAGATGCCCACAGCGTCTGCCGTCCCTTAGTCTTGATTGTTGTTTAGCACCATTCCGTGAATATCCCCTATGTTACCAATAATAATTGCAGCTTTTGGCACATGCGGCCAAATTGAAAATTCGAATTTCACCGTAACAAACAATAGTGCAGTGTCTGTAAACAGTGCGGTGTCTTGGTTTCGGTTTGCATGGATGTGTTGACTTTCAAACGCAACAACTTACTGGTCACTTAGAATTCAATTAGAATAGAAAAAAAAAAAATTAAAAAAATGATTATTACGCATTATCTCCCTTAGTTAAAGCACTCTGATAGCTTTCCCTTAGAAGAAAAGGTTCCCTTCTATTAGGCGATTTTACAACTCTATCAATTTTTCTATATAATCACTTGGTTGGATAAAATGTTTGAAAAAATGAAGAAATAGCCTCATAATACTATGAGATAAAGGATTCTTTTAAAGAGCATAATTTCTGTGGTGTCTGCTAATCTCAAAAAAAGAGTCAACATTGACCTATATCGTTCTATTTCATTCATTTTTTCGGTTATCTCTACATGCTGGAGTCGTATATAAAATTCGAAAATACGTCGAACCTCGAAATCCTTTGATAGAAAACCCGGGTTCTCTCAATACCCATATGACCTAGACCTTCTGCCCATAGAGGTTCAACGGCTAGACGTCCGCACAACCTACGCATTTCCAATGCCTGTGAGAACTGAATCACCTGCAAGGGGAATATCGTATGCGTTTAGGAATAGTTACTAAAGAAAAGTAACATCTAATATCATGCGTACGCACCAGAGATGATGATTCATAGTTTCATAAAATATTGCCAAGAAGAGTCTGATTGAACCTACTTCATCCTCCGTTCCGTGAATGAGCAGAACAGGAGCACGTATATTCTTGATCCAAGCTGCATTATTGAAGGGGTTCAAACAACAACATCCGAACGGGGCTGACGATTTCCTGTTACGGCATAACGTTCGCCATCCTGAATGGAGACCCGAAAGTTGGATCACGCCTGCTACCTGGAGGTTACACCGACGAAATTGTTGTTGTTTGATTCTTTATCGCTCACAGCACTATATTCAAAACAAAAAAAAAAATCCCAACTGAGCCAAATTGTATCAGATTGATCAGACATCTCAACATCGACTTTCTCCTAATTATATTCCGATTTTACTTCATCAGGGCTTACAGTGCTGTGTTCTTTTGAACATAATACGGCTTCAATATCTCGTGGAAAATGACTATCCAAGCCCCCTTGCCGTTGGATATAGGCGCAAACTTTCCTATACACATATATGTAGCAATCGACAAAAGCATCATACATTTCTTAGGAAATTCTAGGATATTTCGTACAGAAGCCATTGTCTCCAATTCTGACAAACACCCAATAATCCACAGAAAATGTGCACTTACTTCGTATTTGCTAGCGAGGTACCAGGTAGGCACGGAACCTATGCTTTGGCCGTAAACAATCACCTTCGTCGTTGGACGCTGCAGTACCTCGATGACGTAACGCATTACCGTGTCGGCATTTTGCAAGATGATATCTAGAGTCATTAATAGAAGATCAATGTTAAGCTTGCTGTTATGATACAATTTTGTTGTCTTTTAACAAAGCCGCTGAAAATAGCTAGAACTGAGAAACGTTCCGTTCTCTGAACGGAAAAACTGAACCGTTAGAAAGCTCCCCGTTTATTACCTGACTGCTCGCCTTACCTCTTCTTAACATCTTAACATAACTTGTTCTGATTGTTCATGAATGGATTAGTCATTCAATGATACGAAATCCAGGCAAAGAATTAGTCATAGCCCCACGAAAGCCTCAGGAAAAGCTGTGTTACCGTGGTAGCACTTATTATTTACAAGACACTATTTGTTAACCACTTAAATCACATATCAGTCGCACTATTGCATAGAAACTATAAGACACAACAAGAATAAAACTTCCGTATGACATTTTCCAAAAACATCCGCGATACGCTCATCTCATGTCGTTCGGCATGTTGGGGTTTTAGATATCGTAGCTAACAACAGCAGAACGTGAAAAAAGCTGCACGCACTTTCACCTGGCGTACCGTCGCTCCCACCGTAACCGGCATAATCATATGCGACGACGTCACACCCAGTTCGTCGAGCCAGTATCTCCATGGCCAAATGTAGAGACCCAAGATCAGCCGCATTCACGTGGCTATGTAAAATAAGCATATTGGTTTTCGAGGGTAGAGCCGGATGCAGCCATTGCATAGCGACTATTCGCTTCAAACGAGTTTTACATAGTTTGGCTGCACGAAGGCAAAACAGAGATAAGATGAAAAAAATTTAATGGCAAGTCACCTATACACTCAGCACAGCGGGCATCGACTACTCGGTTTCTACCTTAAACTATTGTCGGTGGTATCTGATAGTAGTCATATCAGGATCTTGATATAGCACGAGTAAACAGATTACTCATGTTTTAGAGTTTACCTAACCAGCTAAACGCTAGAACAGTGCTCCTTCTCATCCGACTCTACTAAGATCCTACTCTAATCCGACTCGATCTTAACGTACGTATCTGTTTCTGGTCTTTCTCATACACTAACTGGCACAAGCAAACATACATACGTTTTTCATAGAGTAGAACAACTTCTCCTTTCATTTGAAAGGGCGACGAAATTTTAAGTGCTTCGTCCACGATTTCCATCTCGGCAATGCCCCTACCACATATATTCACTTTATACGTCGCTGGCCTAGGTGGATGGAAAGCTATCTTTCGTGTAATGCAAGGAGGGCATGGAGGACAGCAGAAAACCCAGCAAAAACGCGACAACACCTCCGACACGGCCTGTCCGAAGCTGGGCTAAAAGTCATTGTGAAAAGGTTAGTAAGTGAACCTCGGAGTTTCGAATCTATAGAAACTAATTTTCGCTTCACGTATGAATACGACTATCAGTATTATTAATCCGTACTATTAATCAGTAGATAATCCAGTGTGCCTATCCAACAACGTAAGAGTGCGCTGAATTATTCAAGAAATAAAAGTTACTAAGGTCTGATTACACCTTAGTAAACAGTTGTCATCAGTGAGCTTGCTCTCGTCCCCAACAAGAAGATCCCTCGCCAAGCAAGAGCGCTACCTTTGTCTTTTCATGATGGTACCACTAGAGTCGACAGTAACACGTTGGTTATAACCGTAATCTGCAAAGGGCATACGCTGTCTCCCTCATTACAAGTGCGCCAGATATACCGGTTAGTTCAGCTGTTACTCACGAGTAAATATGGGAACTTCCTGAATGATTCTATCATACGACTTGTTGGCTAGTTATCTTCACCGTCGTCTTCATTGCATGCATTTTCTTCCAGACGTGCCTGACGCACTTTGGGTTACAGCATATATATATTAACAGATATATGAATATTGACAAAACGATTGACGAAACCTCTTAAACTAAACGACATCCCGATCCGTGATGTCGTTCTTCGCTTAATAGGTACATTGGCGTGTTGACAATAACCTACAGTGGATAGTATTGCTCTATACTTAAGGTGTTTACAGGTAGGTTCGTATTAACCTACCATAATCATCCGAAAGCTAATTACTGTAAAGTTACTATAAAAACATGTTTAAGTCCAAGAGAGCCTAAATTGCTCGTATTGGGTTTTCTGAATCTTTGCCTATCAAGAATCATTCTACTATAGCCTCTGTCTTTCATATATCATTAGTGAATCTTGAACAGAGAGTACTTAATCGCATCTCTTTTCTACTATATGCAAACGTTCGGGGGCATGGGGCGTTACATGTCTGTTGCAGCTTTTTGCACTATTGTTGAACTTAATAATAAAATAATTTTCGGACATTATTTTACTTAAGTAAATTTAAACCGATAAATTTTAGGATAAGACTTTGCCAACAGATTTTTTTTTGCTGAATATTGAAAATATATACATTATAGCCGCTTTATACAATGGTAGCGAAAGGAGAACTTTCTTTAGAAACAGCATTGCCCAGCTCAAAAGAACGAGATAGGTGTAATCATTATAACGTAGAAACAGTTCGTCAGTGTGAAAATGCGCTACATACATAGTACGTAGGTACGCGACGACCGTCATCAATTTGATGCCTAAGCCCATTTAAAGTTAGATCCACCGATCAAAGGTCAGTCAAACATTGAAATGTAATAGTTCTTCACTGGCGCCTTTGTTGAATTATCGAAACTTAATATATGGAATATTCTTCCGAGTAATGAATTGCTGCAGGGATCGCATGTATATGGGATGGCAACATCGCGCATCCAAAAAAAAACTACGGTTTAAATTATAGTCTCTGCGGACGTACTGGTTTGTGGTGACTGTACGCCGTTTTGCCTCAAACGAGATATCTAAACTAACGATATCAACACGGTGGCCTGCTTAAAAACTGGACCATGCCAAGGCCTTAATTGTGGCCCTTCACCAGAATACAGTAGTACTACAGCTGCCAAAATTTGCCTTCTAGTCGATGTGTTGCATATCAGTCACAAAACATGGCTTTGCCCTTGGACCGTTTTTTAGTCGTATGAAATTAGTTGTATGAAGCGAGGCGCGGTTAGAACGAAGGCACGTGTTGTTGATGTGTCCAGAGTTTCTCGAAAAATACTTAGCTGGATATTAGACTTTGTCGCATAATATCGAAACAGCGCCCGTTGAATGAATGACAATAATTGGACTGCTGATAAAGTGCAGGCCTCGTTTCAGCGCACCGCCATTATAAATACAATACTATGGCCGCGATTATTGGGGTTTTTAACGGCCTATAACGATTCAGCTCTTACTAACTTCTAGAAATACTGCTGCTCTTCAGATGTTCGTTCTGTGTTCAGAGCTTTGCACAGAAATCTCGTTCCACTAACAAACGGTTATGGCTATGAAGCAGCTCCTTTATAGTGAATCTTTGTCACGGGTACGTTCGATCACTGTCCCTGTAGATTGCTGGCTTCGGTATTCAGGGGGCTAAGAACATTGCAGGCGAGTTTGTTTGTCGTTTGAAGTAAGACCTAAGATGAAGTCACCAGAAACATCGGTGATTAGAATACGACAAGCAGCTGGTGCCTAAGCGATCGGCGAAGATACAAAATGCTTTTCCATAGACAGCACGTATGATTAAATCTAATCGTTGATAAACAACACGTACATTGTAATAATAGTAATACTATTGTTATCGTGCCGTTGTGCGCTGCTATCAGGCGTCTATAAATTTCAATCTATCGCAGTTAGCCAGTATTTATTTTTCAACGTGCCCATATATATATGTATAGGACTTACTATGGCCTGCCTTCCTTGCCGTTTTTCATGGGTGTATTGTTAGGGCACGGGTAGTACTTTCATCTAGAGTTTCTCGCATGGCTGATATTATCCGGTGCACTGTTGAGCGTGACCGCTACTGTGACTCAGAGCCCTGCAAAATCTATCATGCTTTGCAAGTTTACAGCAACGATTTGCATTTTCAGAAGCATCCTTGTATTCGAATTTCAGCATTCGAGTTCGCGTCCTTTTTCTAACCGATGGCGTTTAACTTGGCCTGACTGTTATTCGTAACAATAACTAACTCTACCGTGATGGGCGTCCGAACTTACCTCAGAATCACTGTCACTATCCCACCAGATACCGAGATCTGTCTCGTTTGCTGGAGTTTTCGGTTCTTCCAAGATTCTGTTGGGCAAAGATAAAGGTTCCGTTGAATCGCTGGCGCTCACACTTGAAGCATCCTCGCTAGGTTTTCTATCTGCCTCGATGGGGACTGCCTTGGCAGACGAAGCATGTACCATTTTCAGAGCTGAGTTAGCCATGATACATATAGAAGCTCCGAGTTTTAGATTAAACCTGATCTGTACGATTGAAGTCTGCGTAGTTACATGAGTGCCACCTTTCAACTTCGCTCCCGGCAGTTAATGTATAGAACGAATTACACTCTGAGATAACAAAAAAAAATGCTTTGATCTTCATTTACGGATTGCGTAGAAAAGAGATGGTCTCGGTTCGAAGGAAAGGACACGTTCTTGCAAGCACCCGACAGATGCACAGCCGCCCCATACTTGACAACGTTGACGTGCCCTGGTTCGCACCATTTATATCCAGTTTACATAAGAAAATCTGTTCTAAAACTTAGTTAAAAAATTTTCGTAATGAACGTAGAAATCCGGTCTCTTAGATCAAAATAGAAGAACTCTATAGAGGGTTTGCAGTGGCGTTATCGTGCAAAACAATGATACGTCAGTCATCATGTTGTATTTCCCATTACATTATCATTCTGCATGTTGGACATACCGGATTTTTCTCATGTACAGACAACCACTGGGTAATTACTGCTTTCGCCACCTCCTATACTTTCTAAAGTGGATGTAGAATTTGTATTCTCATAGGAAACGTTTATAAAAAAAAGCGGCCTGAGTTACAGATTAGAAATAGAAATGCTTTGTTTTTGTCTCGTCTTTGTGGCAAATTGCAGGCAATGATTTTATTCTGTTTATCTTCAATAACATGGTCATTTCAAAGCTTCCTTATATACCGTGTATCGCTGCTGAAACGAATCTTTGATGCTGTTCATCCATTACCCATGCGCATGCTATGTCCGTCCGCCCAATAATGGCCTGGCTCAGGACACACAAACATCTATTCGACCGGTACTAGGCGTTCCTAAGTGAAAGCTTTGTGGAGAGTTCCTTTCATTGGTACTGAATAGTAAAGTGCGGTGTCAAAGGCGTGCGACAGATTGCGCAGGTAGCCCTATATCTACTCATTTTCCGTAATTAAATCATAACTAAATCAATTTAAGTATATATTAATATACATTTTGCAAATAGAGAGGCCGAACGCTAAACCTAAAACCTAAGCCAGACATATGAGTTGGTAGAGATTAGGACTCTTCTTTTTATAAGCTCGTATTTATTACTCATACCATATTTGTACTTAACGACTCCTTTAAATCTCTTATCTTAGTAGTCATGAGCCAATTGTCGAAATGCAATTTTAAACAAGACATATCTATTGAATAAAAACGATAGTATCGCTCAGTTTGTTGCACGCACTGGTTGAAGGACATAAGGTTTTTCTGCTTGTCCGTTTGTCTCCACACGTTATGTTACCTTCGTCGTATAAGTTGAATAAATGCATAATAATAATTGGTTAGAATGAAGGGCAGTTTTATTTGGCCAAGTTGAGACCCTTCAGGGCCTGACACCTAATTGGATAGGCGGCCTTTTCTCTCTGAGAAAAAAGATCTAGGTGTGGTTACAGCTAAAGAGTGAAAGTTGGTCAGGTCTGCGATAATTAAGCTAGCTGCCATCAGGGCCTGTGCATCAGGGCTGTGTGCAGGGCCTGCGGAAGACAGTGCATACTGTATCGAAATATTGACAAAAGAGGTAGTATTATTGGTATTAACTCTTTTCCAAAAGCTCTTCTATTTTCGTTTTCGCTTTTCATGTCTGGCTCTCGTTTCTTTTCTTCCAGGTAGGTTACACTGGCGCGCGAAGGTTGTCCTAAGCTGAGCATGCTGTTTATAATAGCCTCTTCAGTAATTTGCCCCCTATGCAGCATATGACCTCTAAAAATTTTCATTTAATCATTTACCTGTTGTTATTTAGTGCGGCAGACTGGAATATCACGTATTCCAAAACATCATCCTCTTCCGACTACTGGATCCGCTGTAGGCTTTCTGTGCCTCACTTTTCCTGACCTGGTAGGTTTAAAACTATACAAAGCAGCTACCACGTGAGTAAATAGTACGGTTGGTATGTTTTCCAAATGATGTCTTGCGCCAGGTGCGAACACCTAGCATCAATTCCTAGATTTGGGGTTCAGCGTACTCGTCTAGGCGACGCTCGTCCCTTTTCTCCGGAAGGAGATTCCACGGGATCATTCATGCTAGTATCGTACCCCTAGATACGGTCCTGCACGCTTGTACTGCTCGAAATGTAAGAACTCTTTGAGTCGCTAGTAGTGTCTTTCTGTTCCTTTCCTTGTCAAGGAACATGTCAATCCAGGTAGGATTAATGTACAGTCCAGCCTACTCCGCTACGATAACCACTAAACGCCTTGCCTTTTGCATAACTCCTCGTATTCTGAGCATTGACTTAACAATACCAAAAGCGTCCTTATAGCCTTCGTTGTTCGCAATAAACATCGGTATTACCCATAGTTTTTTTTTCTAGTCAAAAATAGCTCCTATGTAATTTGCTTTATCTTTCTTCATTAACTTGTAGTTGGTGACACCTGGGTATGACGACTGGTTTACCGCTAATGAGAACAGCTTTAGCCAGTTAAGGATCGCACCTATATGTATACTATGTAGTGCTATGATGAGAACAAGGAAACGTAAACCTGCCGGTTAATGAAAAGTGGCAGGGTTAATATTGACTACTGCTAGTAAACAATGCCCACCCGCAGCTAAACGCCGATCTGGCTACTGAAGAGAACGCTTATGTTATTATTCTATCTATTATCTAGCTAGAACTCGGTCATAAAATGGAAGAAATTAACCCAGCCCGGGATGAACATTTTGTTCTTTTGTCGCAACTCTAATTTCAATTAGCTAACCTGTTAACCCAGGTTGATCAGACCGTTTAACTAGTTTAAAAACCTTAACCGTTTGTTGATGTCTATGTACAAGCTATAAAACGCACATATATATTTATGTGGCGCTCGCATTATTTGCCTATGGCAAGCATTGAGGAGTCTATATTGGAAGGGCAGAGAGTTCCATCAAGTACCATACCTGTGATAAAGACTTGACAGCAATCTCTTTGTTGCGCACTGAGGAGTGGTATCTACGGGATCAAGTGGCTGTGTTGACGATCTGCTTTCATTCACAGCCGGACGATCCGCCTGAAAATGAAGTCCTTTTATCTCGGTACTTGCCGCTGTTTTACCGCTGGTCATTGTATCGCAGCTAATTAGTATCGTGCTGACATCTGGTTCCTATACGTAGATATATTTGAAGAAATTTATAGTAACAGAATGTATAAAAATGTCCAAAATGCTTCCATCAGACGACGTAAAACTACTAGCTTTTATTTGATCGGCGTTGTCAATGATCAAACGGAAACACGTGACAGATTCGAGGTACCGCGAACAAATGTGTAATGTTAAAAAAAGTACTGATGTAAAAAAATACAGTCGAGGATTACCGGCCTATTTTCAGGCTACATACTAGTTTTATAGTTCAATTAATCCACCGTAGAAGGTTTAGAAGCTGGAAAATATATTTTTCGCTACGAGTTTATGTCTATGTAAAAATCTCGTAAGTTTATTAGGACTTATCTACTAAGTGATTCGACTAGATATCCCATAGAGGGAAAATATCTACAGCTATTGAGAAAAGAGGCTTGAAATGTTCCATGCACTACCTAGTGGAACCTGATAAAACATTTTGCCTTGAATACCGCCGCACCTCTCTGAATTCAGTTTGAGGTAACATTCAATTTCGCTTTCCCTATTAAATTAGAGTTAAAATTAGTTTCCCGCCTTTTTGTCATTCTAGTAAAGCCGTTCTCAGAAATGAACTAATTTCTCGAAAAAAAAAAAAAAAAGAAGCCTCGCAATGTTGAATAAACGTTGGCTGCATGACATGATACCGTCTTGTTCGGAGTTCGAGTCTTCATCTGAAACTATTGAATAGAAGTAGCATACCGAAAAGCTAAATTTGTCGCCTGTTAACACTCGCTGTCAGGCCATTTTCGTATGTACCATCAATGTTACAAACGCTCGCGCACACAATAAACTGTATGGAATGCAAGGTCTAGCTTGTGAGAGGTGACAACAGTGTCTATCTTCAACATGGTAACTAACTTCGTTAGGCAAGCAAAAAGAGAGCGACCATGTTGTCACTAGTGCGATTTCGACAACAAGAAGTCGCTAACAACCACATGTCAAGTGATACTATGCCTATTAAACCTTTCGATGTTATTCTCCACGTTTACGTCGGTCGAATGGCCGGGTGAGAGGGTGTTGCTAATAGTGACTCTTGCCGCCTGATGGCGTGTTTACGTTTACAACGACAACTACTATTGCTATTGGCATCAGTAGAGATGCTGCTATTGTCTAACGGATTTACGGAAAATATTTGCTTAGAAACCATACAAACTAAACGAGGATCAAGTGAAAAAACCACCGAGGCCTGCTGCTCATGCGAGAAAATTCTTTCTCCGTAATACGGCGTAACTACTCTGACTTCGGGCTCACTCTCAGTTCCTCGTACGCCGTATGCGTCGGGTCAGGCTTTTGCGGCTCTGCATAGAGCTTCTAGATGTCCCCGCCGTTTCAGGGATGGCTTGCCTGTAGACAAGTGTACGTTCGTCTGGCGTGAAACACAAAGGTAGCCTGACATTAGAGGCCATCCTAGGCAAAGCATGGCGGTGTCATGGGAAGTTTTCATGACGAAAATCGACAGATAGCCAATACTTATTTACCTCTATTACCACCACCACCCACATCACATAGGGCAGAGAATCCACTCAGGGTTTTGAAATATTGTTGCGTACTGCTCGAGTACTCAATGCAAAATCGGCCGCAACATATTTGTGGATAATTGTCACATGAATAGCTTGTGCCATAAACATACTGCCATCTGTGCCTAGTTGTAACAACTCGACGTTACACATGTTGAACTTTGAAAGTGAAAACGATTCTTCTGTATAGTTAGTGGTAAATTAGATGATACTTGATTATGATCTAAAGCGGCAGCTTGTATTAGTTTCTTTCAAATTATATAGAAATTAAATCAATACCTTAAGTTACAGCCTGCCCTTCCAGTTTATTTACCGCTGCTTACAGGAGTCAGGTGTTTAGTGAATGTGGCCGTGCTTAGCATCGCTGCTAATTAGGAGGAAGGATGGGGGAGTAACTCCCAGTGAAGTACCTCCCAAAACCTCATACTTCCCTTATACCGCGTAGAGCCATTGCTGCACAGCAATAAGTAGCGTTTAGGCGAAGTATGAAGGGTCGGAAAACTTAAGTCCTTTGCTGATGACAAGCAGACCTCAGTGAAGACACTGAAATGGCTAAAATGCTCGTGCTGTCGACAAGATACTAACGATAGGCTCGCTAATGATGTTACTTGAAGTGGTCAAGTACAGATGACCATTAAATAAATGCTTAATAAATATTTTCTCTCATACTCTATTTTTCCCTCGATTTAAAGATATGCAGGGATAGGATAAATACAAGAAAAAACTTGAGGAACTGTACGTTATGATGCTTCATTTAGCATGGGTCTAATGGAATGGATTTGTAATGATGTGTCTAGTAATAGGAAAGGAATGGGGGCTTCCATAAAAGTTAGTGGATACTTTTCAAATCATTTTCTAAATTTACTGTAAGCCGGTGTCACGCTTGCAGACAGAGTTAGTTAGAATATTTATATAAACAGATATGTTTACTAGTTGCATGTTTCCATCTGGTCGATTGATAAATTTTGAAATTATGAAAATAGATGGTAGATGCTTTATGGCTCCTTTCATGATCCGAGATTCAAACCGCTCTACATTATTCTGAGCTTCAGTCTTACATCGCACCGTAAATAGGCTGTGAGGAAAGTGACGTTAAATCCCCATAGGCCTAACACGTTTCGACTGGATGTGTTGTCAGGTTTTGAGACTGAATTATTTCAACGTGATCGAATGTGTATCAGCGAATGCCCTTATAAAATGTCAATGTGTTGTCCTGAATTCCTGCTAATTAACTTCTGCTAAATTTAACTGTTTTG